AAATAATTATGTCGGGGCGAAATTCATCGAAAATCAGCCGGCGACCCGGAGCTCGGAATAACGAGCAAGCGAAACCCGCGTCCTGTGACTTTCAAATCACGAAACTGACAAATACGCGAGTTACACAAATTGTAGATTCGCTTTCTCGCTCCGCGAGAACTTTTTCTCCTCTCTTTGACGGATGGCGGACGAAGAGGTGATAATTGACGCTCGAGTCGCATCGACCCGAGCAAAAAATTGTTAGGACCATCCTTATGAAGTATAAAGCCCCGATAAGACTGAAAGTAGGATGTCCTAAAACAGGATGTCTCATTATTATCATATCAAGTCCCGAGATGCATCCTTTAAGGACGTTATCTTAGATTTTACGAAATAAGGCTTTGATGAAGAAAACTGATGAGGACTTTAGAAGGATTTATTAAGAATGCTTTAGATTTAATAATTAAGGCTTTGATAGAACTTTGAAAACTGATAAGGACCTTAAAAGGATCTTTTAAGGACGCTTTAGATATATAAAATCAAGTTTTGTTATAGAAAAGTAATAAGATCTGAAGCGTGTAATAAAATTATCATAGTTAGTATTGTTTTAGTAGGTACGCTCTATCTGGTTCTTTTAAAGATTTTTTAATTATACCGCAATTAAAAACAAATTTTATTAGTTTCAGTTGCCATATTCATGAGTCTTCCAAGGATTTTTCTAGTATTACTTTCGTTTTGATTTAATAAAAACAGCAGCAGAATTTTTATGTGTAATGAATGCTATATTTTATTGTACGGTATGCTATATTTTTAAAATAAAAAATTCTTGTTGTATACTAACAAGATTATAAAAAAATAAAGAAATTACAGTCTAAATTTCTTGCAATGAAAAGAACGAATATTTTTACTCAAGCAATAATAAAAAAATTTCCTTATAAGGCCCTATTAATATTGCCTTATAAGGCAATTGACAATGCCTTACAAGGTCCTTAATATTGTCTTATAAGGACCCGTTAAATCATTTGTTACATATCTAGGGCCTTTGTCTTCTATCCCTACTAGGGCCGATTAATGTTAGGGAAAAATAATCAGAGCCCTTACCAAAGCCCTGTTAATTTTTTTACTCGGAAAGCCAACTCCAGTCCGCTTGCATTTATTTAACGTTATGGGGCCGCATAATAGTCTCATCGTGCAACTGGTTTGTTAGGATCTTTTAATTGCACTTACTATGAGTTTGCTACGTATTGATTATTCAAAGTAAAGAGAACAGCCCTGTCAAAGTGATACTTTTTGTCCCTAGAGTGGTAGCTCTATGTTAATTTCCAGGAAAGGATTCGTATAATTAGAAAATAACAGTAACTTTGTACCAAATGTTTAGACCATTATGTCTGCTTGTGTGTGAAATGACGTTTCCCGTCCGGACTCCTGCTCGAAGGCATTTCCACGCGTAAGGCCAGTTCAACGAGAAACTGCTCGTTAACGACGTATCCCGCTTCGCTTCTTGCATGCAAAGCGGCGTCTGGAATACTCCGGAGTAATCGTTGCGTTTCGCAATTTACAGATCACCCGATCGTGTTGCCAACGCTTGACACGGATTTCGTCACGCGGTACTTCAACCCGTATTGATAGTCTCCACTTTCGAACAGGTGCTCGATTTCAAATCTAGAATCGATTCAGAATTTTTCAACAGAATCACATGATATATCGGGCTTGTTCTCTTCGGTCCAACTAGTTCTGCGCGGGAACTTCGTTCCCCTCTCCTGCGAAGCGTTTAGCTTATATGCCTGTTTTACTTTAACTTTGCAAAAAGTGCAACCTGGTTCAGCTGAAAGCAACAGACGTATTACATCTGCAATCGTAATTCGACCGCGAAAAATTCGCATCTGATTCTGCGTTCAAATGTATTTCACTCTTGAGACCAGTTTCAAGCGACGATTAATAATTGTCTTGCTAATGTCGTGCTGGGAACGTCAGTTCTACGGAAAACACATCCGCATGTCGACCGTCAGGGTACAGAACGTATCGCATTTTCGAGGAGAACGCGCGCAGCTTCCATTGCTCGATGCAATCACAATTCGAAATCGCGAAGCGGACGAATCGATTCCGCGACGAATGTCGCGAAAACGCGAGAAACGTCGCGGACGGAAGAAACGTTCGGCAGACACGTGCGCGCGCGGGGGAGAGGGAGAGAGACAGCCTTCGACCTGGATTCCTTAATCCATCGCGATTCTGCGCGTATTTGCAGTTGGTTGACGGCCAATTCGCCGATGCTCTGCGAAAACTGCGACGGGGCCAATCAAGCCGCAGCGCGCTCGAGTGCCCGCGTTTAACACCGGTCGGATCTGCGAGAGAGAGAGAGAGAGAGAGAGAGAGAGAGAGAGAAAGAGAGAGAGAGAGAAAGAGAGAAAGGAAGAGAGGGATTGAGAGAGGGGCCGGGAGTGAAAGAGTGAGGACACGCGCGAAGGGTTAATCCAGAAAACTCAACGCGATAGATCTCCGCCGAGCGTAATCCGAGCCTTATCTCTCATATCCGCACGTATCGCGCGGCGACCATATTTTCCCCGCGCTCGGAGAGTTTGGCACGTGTAATCCAATAAGCGATTCTTCGTGCTTCTCCCGCATTTACGGAACGGAAACAACCCGGATATGGAGTCGATATTAACAGCGCCAGATGAGAGATCCACGCGCGAACTTTTGTACGGAGTTAAGGCTGGTTCTCACTACGCTCCGTCTGCACAGCGGTAGACGGGATTCCGTCAATTGCCCTTTTTTTTTTGTTTTGTTTTCATTGGACTGATCGAGAGAGGGCGACGGTGACGGATGTTGTGAATATCCCAGTACAAAAGCGCTGAAGAATGTTTCGCCGTACGATCGATGGACTCCCGTCTGATGCCGTCTAGAGGAACAGCAAGAATGCAGCCTTAAAAGACGGCCGAAGGAAGAGATTCGTCTCGATCGGCGGGAACGCGAACGACGACGGCGCGGTATTGGAGCATTTGTCAGACGCCCGAATATTAGTAGCGAGAGCGCAGGTAGCCGAAGAGGCCCGGTACACTTATTAGCGCAGCCGTGCGCGCGCGCGAACGCTCGCCCATATGCATGGCGCCGTGCCAACTAGTTACGAACCTGACTCGAGTAAAGGTGAAGTCCGAGCGCGTACTCGAAGCCGGAAAGCCAGCTATGCATACTTAGTGCCCCGACATCGCCGGCGAGGCCCTTCGGGTCAGAGAGAAGGAATGTCGGCCAGATAGACATCGGCCAGAAAAAGGGGTCGAATGAGAGAAAAGGAAAAACGGGCTCCGCGAGACCTCTCTCGATGTCGTGGGCCGATGACGACGACGACGAGGGGCTCGAGTTTGTTCGATCACGACGATCTCGTGCAAATACGGTAAACAAACGTGCGCGGCGACAATTATTTCCAGGAGTATCCGAAAGTGGATTAACACACCACAGACCGCTGAGCAATCGATACTTGAGCGAGCAGGAAAAATATTTGCGTGTCTGGACGTAAAATACAAATCAGGTGTAAATATAAATTGGCCATGACCGAGAGAGAGAGAGAGAGGGAATTTTGTTTTCTCCTAAATAAGATCTTTCTCTTTCTGTCTCTCTCTCTCTCTTTCTTCGCAAGAAGGTTGATAATTATTACAAGATTATAATTAAAAATGATAATTATAAAAGCCATACTGCAAGATTATTAAAGAATAATCTAGGATATCATCCAAGCAGAAATTGCTATATTGAATTGTGCGAGCAATTTATGCGATCTTTCAGTTTCTTCTCAAGCAAGCTGATTCTTTGAGCTGGTCAAGTTGAAGGGATGTGGGAAAAGACACAAAATACACAACGCGAGTACACTGTATCGACTGATGCTTCACCGCGCGTTTCAAATTCCTGTCCTATAAATATTCCGGAAAATCCGCGCGAGCTCTTGGAATAAATCAACGTCTCGAGCTCAATCTCTCGAATCAATATCTCGAGCTCGAAATTAGTATACAGCCGTCCGATCGCACGAGAAACACAACGGCCTTTCGCGTCCCTCAAATCGGAGGAGGGTGGAGGCAATTGTCGCAGCGGTCCGCGGCACCAAAGACATCAAAGCGAGAATCGATGTCAATGAGCAGGCTATGAGTGGAGTTTCCTCGGTCGCGATGAAATATGAAAGCGGTGCTTTTGCTCGCTTTGTCCGGCGCTCGTTAAAAAGGGTGCGCATTCGGGATGAAGCTGTATTTTTTATAGCCGCCCGCGAGGCTTCTTATCTGCGCCGCCGCGGTTTATTGTTGGGAATAAAGATTAGTCGGATAGTTACAATATAATGTAGTCGGCCGCGTATACACGTAAATGCGGGATTATTTACGTCAACCGACTCTTGTAAATCATCCGACCAGCGCTCGCTCGCACGCTCGCACGCGCGCAAACACAGACACACGCATTTTCGCGCTGAAAGCTCATTGCTTTTTCTTATATTATTGCAGCTACGTTATTCCGCATAAATTTCCAATTAATTACACCATTTATACAACTTGTTCGGCGCGCGCGCGCACGATTTATCTCTGTACGCGTTCCGTAGCGGTTGCTTGCCCCCCTCCTCCCTTGCCCGACGTTTCGTACAGCGACGAGTGCGGGAATAATAATAGCGGGGTACAATGACGTATGCCGAAAAATGACCGTCGGTATAATAAACGAATTGTTTCCCGGCAATTCCGCGCATTCCAAATAAACTCGCGTAAACCGCCGCAATTTCCGGTACGCGCAAAATTGTAGTCGATATGTAGTCGTGCATCGCCGCGACAAAAAGGGCCGGTCGGTCGCGGAGCCATCAAGATACGCGCGGATACGCCTTCCCGCTTTCCTTCCCCCCTTCCCCTTTTTTCCTCCTGTCCGCTCTCCAGCTGCTCTCTCACGTCGAGCGTTGTATGTAATCGCGATCCCCTTTGGTCGGCGTTGCGCCGAAATTATTGGAAAAAGTACCGTACTCGTATCGAGAATATTATTAAACGAGAGAGAATTTCTGTTTTATTGTATATTTCTTCATGACAGTAAGTCGCGCATAAAAAATGAAGGATAATAGCAAATAATGACTGCAAGTAGTGATAACTGATAAAAATGTAGTGATAGTTTATAAACGTATAATAAAATTGCGCAGTCCGGAGGAATCGCGCGCTTGTGAAGCAGGAAGATTCGCGAAGGTAGCGTTTAGCAATTATCATCAAAACCTCATTAAATGTTATCGACTCGCCCTTCTTCGAAGAGTTGTGTCCGTTTTGAGTGAGTGGTGTCGTCCGACGAATTTTGAAGTAGAACACATTTCACTTGAGATTGATGTGCTTCAGGAAGCTTTCCCTGCGACAAATTACGAGGGACAAATTAATTACAAATTGGCATTGGCCAAGCGAGGCCGACAAAGGAGATTTCAATATTGTTTAACATCTTCACGGATACCAACCATTGGCTCTTCCTGACGAACGGCATTACGGCTGGAATCGGGAAGCCATTGAACGTGTTAGAAAGAGACAACGTGTAAGCGCCCATATCCTTCCAAACTAACCAGTCGCCCACGTAAAGCTCAGGCAACGGCACGTCCTTAACAATCAAGTCGTACGAGTCCGCGGTAGGTCCCCATAGGATCGAAGAGAATTCTTCGTCGTTGATTGGCTGCAACGACACAAGTCGCCGATTACTCGCCCGCGAACAGCGCGAGCCGCTTTGCTAAGTACACGAGAGCGCGGAGCTGATTAAGCGGCAATTAAGTGCGCACGTGTCGAAGCGGTTCGTAATCACCTCGAAGAGCAAGCGTGGCCTTCGGGACTGCAGACCCAACAACTCGTCCAAGAATGAATTGTACACGCCGCAGTTCATGTAGTACATCCTCTTCAGCTCGCCGTTTTCGGAAACGATTCGCTTGGAATGCAGGTACGAGGCTAACGTGAAGTTCGCGCTCACGTAGTACCGCCCGGGCTCGCTGATGATTCTCACGGCGGGGTCGAGGTCTTGGGTCGCGTCGTTGATGACCTTCGCGAACTGAAGAAACCGGGTGAACGCGTGGGCATGTCGAGAGATCGCTCTTCTTCGCGAGATTTCTTGTTTCTCGAAGCTCGACTGACTCGGCGAGATTCCTCGTTTTTCAAGGATCAAACGCGAAAGACCGACCACACGTTTTAATTCTCGCTTTTAATTCTCATTGCGTGAAATGAGCTACGCTAACGGTGCTAGATACGTATTGGAAAAGGGAGCTGGTGACGTTAGAACTTCGAAAAAAAAGAAATCGTGTTTTCGACCGGTCTTCCAAGCGTTAGCATTTAACAGCGCGTAATCATTAATAAAGCAACTAGTCAATCAAAAGTAATCGTTAATAAAGTAAACTTTGTGATTTTAACGTACCAGCATATATGTGTACGTTTGGACACGCTCGATTTTTCCTTTACGAGCATTACCGCGAACAAATATTCAGACTGTCGAGAAAAAGAGAGATCTTGTCACATGATTGACATATTCGTGTCATTTTATATTAAACCATTTCCTTCTGATTTCGCAGTTTAAATCCACCCGTACTGAGATTAACAAAATTTATATTTACGACGTCGAGAAAAGTGGATGGACTGCTGCTTAGTAACTACTTATCGATTTCCGATGCAATTAGTGAAATAAATTAATAAATTAGCAACATACGCGTAGCGTAGTAAACAAAGCATACATAATTGATTTTGATGGAAAGCTTGAACCCTTGGAGTTTTAATTATGTTATATTTTTCTAATTTGACTAGGCAAGATTGTGATTGATTTACCATATTTTTTTCAGATATAACTGAAGTGTCATTCAGTGACTTGTGACAGTTTAGTTTTAAAGAAGTTGAAGCATAACTTCAGAGATCTAATAGTTGTTTAGAAAAATATCTAGATAGATATTTGATACTATCAACTTGTAAAGTATCGACAAGCAACAGTTCGGTCCGTCGCCGTCGATAGCACGCTTGCAATTACACTGATAGAAAAATATAGTTGAGTTAACTATAATCTCACTATATTTTATAGTTTTGGCGTCAACCATATTTTTATAGTTGGTGGAAACTGCAAAATATAGTAGAATAAACACAAATATATAGTCAATGATTGTCTTAAATAATTGTTTAGTTACTTTTACCACATATATGGTAATTTCTCATTCACAAATATAGTGAGATTTAATATGCATATAGTTACATCTGTCATCATTTAGCAAATATGCTGGTAATATTGACTATATGAAAGAGTTACTTTACCTACCATTTTATATTTGTATCCATACAATAATTTTAGTTTAACTTACTATAATTCTTAGTAAAAGTATTATATGGTTGGTTATATTATGCCAATATCGTAATTATTACCGATATTATGGTAATACTTACTATAAATATGATGTTTCGGACTATAATTTAATTACTGTATCATTATAATTCCAAATATCATATACTTTTCTCTCAGTGTATGATGTTCCAGTGTTTGTTATATGATTTTCAAAATTTGTTGTAACGGATAAATGTTGTGACACAAAATTTGTAGCAAAACATGTGCTTATAATAAATATAGACTCAATTGGTTTATCAAGGGAAACGGCCGCGACTGTCACTATCACTAAGTGAAACATTCACCTTACAGCGAAGTTTTACTCCGAAAAAGATCACTTGGAACAGCAGCAGAAACGAAATAGTTAATAAGAAAAAAAAAACACGACGATAACAGACGTACCCTGTCGATCTCGGCCTCGCAATCACCGGAAAATCCTCCGCCGATGTCGATCAGCTCGACGTCGCGGCAGCCGATCGTCTTGGCGACGTCGATGAGGCGCGCGCACGTCTTGATACCACGACGATAGGCGTCCACTTCCCTGCACGGCGTGCCGACGTGGAAACTGAAGCCGTGCAGGTTCAGGCCGAGGTCCTTGGTGCGCTGTATGAGGTGCACCGCTTCCTCGTACGGCTCGCAACCAAATTTCGTGCCCAACGACACCGGCGAGTTCTTCGCGTCGCAGCGAATGCGTAACACTACCCTGTGGGAATCGTCGCTTGACCTTGTGAATCTCGGCACAACAAGTGGCACGGGAAACGGATTTTCGAGAGCGATCTGATTCGATCGTAATAACAACGGAATTGGAATCGCGGGACGCAAATCAGATTTCACGCGTTAAAATTTCATTCCTCCCGTCGGCTAATTATCTCAGTCGTCTCGAAAACCGATTAATCTCTCATCTGCGTCGCAATTTTGAATTTTAATGGCTCCGCTCATTTTACGCCACGCATTATTATATATACCACGGCTACCTGTTTCACTCACTTGGCTTCGGGGAAGAACTCTTGGATCTTCGACAGCTCCGTCTCGCCGTCGACCGTCATCCGCTCGACGCCCACTTTTCTCGCGTATTTGATGTGAGACGGCAACTTGGCGGGATGCGCGAAAATGATGCGTTCGCCCTTCACACCGTGCTGCATCACTTGCCTTATTTCTTGCTGTCGGGAACACGCATTGTTCCTAATCAGCTTGAGTTATCGGACAATCTCAACGACTGTTTAAATGCTTAAATGTGAAATCTGAAGCTGAAGGCTTACCATAGACGCGCAATCGAAACATACGTTCATGGCCGCCAGGACTTTGATCACGGTCGGGTCCGAGTTGCATTTGATCGCTGAGGTGCGAAGAAGATCGATGAAATTAATTTTTAACGTCACTAATACATATACTTTACCATTTGATAACAATTAATCACTATCATCTAGCAAAATAAATTGATAAGCAATATGTGTGTTATTAGATATGTCTCTAAATGATAATACATTTCTTTGATAAATATGCTTTAAACTTTTAGGTAAATATGTCTTAGGAGTAAATTGTTCGAACTATATTTTAAAAACACCTTAAAGATATATTTCTAAAAACAGAGCGGTTAACGTCGCGTACCGTAATACGGGGTGACTCTCGGTATTTTGTTGATCCACTCCATATGCTTCTTAATAACACCACCGATATCTGCGACGTAGAAAGCGTCTTCCGGTTTTTCAGTGTTAATCGTGTTCTTAATAATATCCATCTCGTCTATGTTGTCGTCCAAAACGTTTATCTCGGTGAAATCAAACATCGTAAGCAGTCCTGTCGAGAGGATACAGTCAGCTGCTTATTTTTATCCCGGCTCATATTAGAAAATGAGTAATAAAATATTAATGAATAATGAATATAATAATTGGAGTAACAATCGCGACATCTTATTACTCGTTTTCGTGTCGCATTTGGCAGATACGCGTTCAAATTATCTCGAGTTTTCACATGTTTATATATTATTTGAGTATGGGCATTCGTGTGTACAAAGACATCACAAACGCGGAGAAAAGATAATACGATTTTAACATATATCCCTTTTGCATATCTCGTAAAAACTAACCGAATATTTTTCGTTTCAAATTCGATTTGATATTACGCCACAGAGAACTCGCAAAGTATAAGTTTTATTAACTGCACAAATCAATGTGTAAACGAGTGAGTGAGTTTATATTGAAAAAATGCTACAGACTTTTGTTAAACGTGCAAGTTCAATCACGTGCAGAAGTAGTCAGTAGTCATATTGATAATAAAATTAAGAAATTTCACAATTGCGTACATTGAATGACCCGATCCGCTTCCGAAACTCTTCACGAACACAACTAAATCATGATCGAACGATGCCGGTATATATATATATATATGCACAATACACACACATACACACACAGATGATACGTATACATGACGCGCATACGCGCTACGTAGGTGAATGGTGTGTGTGTGTGTGCGTGTATGTGTACTGCCGCAAAAATATTTTGAAAAACAGTTACACGAAACGTAAAAAGCAAGGCAAAATTAACGAGCAAATGTCACGTAACAAGAAACGACAGATATGGAAAAATCCAATATAAAACATATGGCGCAGCATAGGTGGGAGTACCGATACGAACGTCTCTGGTGAATCCGACGAGTTTATCGCGCATGTACCGATTAATAATCGACACTCTCGACACAAAATCCTTGCTCGCTCCTCTTCAAGTCGCTCGTCCGCTTCCCGTCACCGCTTACTGTCCTCGCCGTCTTCCTCTTTCCAGCTGTACGTCGCGCGCGTTTCACGCGGCGGATGCGCGCGAGATAAACCGACGTCGTTTTATTACCGAATATGTATTGGTCGAACAATGTTTGTTAAGCAGCATAATCCGTTGGCGCAGCTGGCAGTTACAATTGATCAAACAATAGAATAACGCATGACCAATATTGGCGAATATTTTGTCTTCTTTCTTTCGTGTGTTTCTACGGTCCGTCGGCGTCTCATGATTATAATCATTCAGGAAGAAATGCAAGTTAATTAACTCGATTAAGATATTTCCTCAAATCAAACAACTTAACAAGCCCGGTTGATAAAGTGGTTTGTTGAAGAGCCTCGTGGCGAAAATTTTAAGACTACACGCTACAACGAAGCAGCGGGACATTAATTACTATATATAAACGTGCATCTGTATTTATATAAGTATCGTGCAAATAGCGAATGCGCTATTTATATGCTCCGATTTATTCACATCAACGACAGAGAATCGAATTTACACAAATTTATAAAAGATTCTGCCTTAATTTTGCTTTCTCTTTTCCTTCGAGAAAAACTTGCATGTCAACTTCGTTGAAAATTGTCGTTCCGCTTTCCAATTGAGTCGTGCAGCTCATCGGATCCGCGTCAAGCAGAAGAGACCCTCACACGAGATTAATTCGCGCCCTAAAATCCTCCCTGCGAACATAGACACGAGTTCAAAGTATCGCTGCCTTTTCCTCATAAAAAGTGTACAGTTCGTTTCTTCAGACGACTCAACTGACCATTGACTCTTCCTCACGATCGGAATCACAACCGGAATCTCAAATCCGTTGAACGTAGTGGAGAGAGATATAGCGTAAGCGCCCATGTCCTTCCAGATCAACCAATCGCCGATGTTAAGTTCGGGCAGCAACATATCCTTCACAATTAAATCGTACGAGTGGAGAGTTGAACCCCACACGCACGAGCTGAACTTCTCGCTGCTCACTGGCTGCGCATAATGAATTAATAACAATGCCTTAAGTCACAATAGAGAGTCTCTTGGCGAGGAAAATGGAAAGTAGCGGAGTTTACCTCGGATAGCAATTGTGGGACTCTCGCCTGCAAGTCCAACAGCTCCTCTGTGAAGCCATTGAACACCCCGCAGTTTATATAGTACATTCTCATCGTTTCACCGTCCTTCAGGATCATTCGCTTCGAGTGCAGATACGAGGCCAGAGTGAAGCTCGAAGCTACGTAGTAAGTTCCCGGCTCACTGATCACTCTAATGGATGGATCGACATCTTGTATCGCCTTGTTCACAACACTCGCAATCTGAGGAAGTCACGAAGAAGTGTGTAACGCGCGGTGTGTAAACAAACAGTGAACGAGAAATAAATATCTTGATGATGTCTGAAAATTCCAACTCGTCTTTGCGACCACGAATGTCGCGAGTGAACTCGCAGTTGATCTGCCCTGAACGCAAATTTGAGGAACCGTTACGTTTGGTTCTCTAATATCTCTTCATTTTCGTTTCTAAACAATATTAAATGAGAAACGACTGTATCGCACTAACGATATCTAGAAAATTGGACGTTCCTCGCGATTACAAACTCTGCGATTACAAATTCTGCGAATAAAATTCACTATCAATGGCTTTTGGTTATAAGAATTGAGAAGCGGATTCGTTTAATTTTTTTACATCTCACCCCTTCCGCCCCTCGGTTTTTTCTTCAATTCTAGAAGAAGTCAACAAGAGAAAGACAGTCGATGCAAGATGTCAGTCACAAATTTCACTTGCTCGGTCGTTAATATGAATTTTATTTTCACGACTGAGTGCATTTCGCGCAACTGAGATTTTGCGTCGAGTCTTAGTCTAGTTTTTTTCTTCTTGATAGTTGGTAGTGCATCAAGAGGTTCCAATCTTTCAGATTTAAATCTCCATCGTGCTCGAGTATCACGATTTAGTATTTTTAAATCGAAATATTATAAAATATGATAGATTTGTGTGTACACCTCGTCGATGTTCGTTCCGCTCTCGCCCGGGAAGCCGCCGCCGATGTCGATCAGCTGCACATCGTCGCAACCGATGCTTTTGGAGACAATGATTAACTGTTTGCACATCGTGATCCCTCGGCTGTAAGCCTCCGGCTCGCAGCACGGGCTGCCAACGTGGAAGCTGAAGCCGTGTAAATTCAGACCGAGGTCCTTCGTAAGCTGTATCAAGCGCACAGCTTCCTCGTGCGACTCGCAGCCGAATTTCATGCCCAACACCACCGGCGTGTTTTTCGAGTCGCAGCGTATACGTATGACGATTCTGTCGCACAAAAACCGATCATTCGCGCGATAAAAGTGGAGCAACAGGAATAAAAAAAAGCAAATACTCGTTACCGCCGCTCTGTCGGACAGTCGAGAGCCACTCACTTAGCTTCAGGAAAGAAATCCTTGATCTTGAACAGTTCGTATTCGCTGTCCACCGTCATCTGCTTGACGTCCACTTTCTTCGCGTAGATTATATGAGATGGATATTTCGCCGGGTGTGCGAAAATAATGCGATCGCCGTGCACCCCATGTTGCATCACCTGTTTTATCTCTTGCTGTTTACAAATATAATTTGCATCTTAGTAGGCTTAGTAGGAAAAAAGATTGGTTATTGAACGTGACAGCAAACGAGTCAAGCGCGCATCGGATGGAGGCGACAGAATTTCTGGCTTTTATGAATTAAATTTGGTCTGTCAGAAGGAAATTCTGCCTCCTTCATCCCTCATTCTCGTTCGATTCGTTAATTATCACGACAATTCGGGCGATCTCATTCCACTGCGTGGAGTTATTTGCCAGTCGCGGAGGTAAACGGAAAAATGTATACCTTGGATGCGCAGTCGAAGCAAGCATCCAGAGCCGCCAGAACTTTTATCACCGTCGGATCCGAATTGCTTTTAATCGCTGGGAAAAAGAGAGAAGAGTGATATCAGTACTTTGCGAATTTCTCAATATCGGTATGCATTGATAAAAAATGATGAAACAAAATGAGCGTAACGAGCAAGAGGAGATACCGAAGTGTGGGACGACTCTGGGCATCTTTGCGATCCATTCGTCGTGTTTCGCGATCACTTTACCGATGTCCGCGATGTAAAAGGCCTTTTCTCGATGCTCTGTGCTGGTTATGTTTTGTATTATGTCCATATCGTCCACCGAGTCGTCGAAAACCCTTATTTCATTCATGTTAAACCGCGCCATGTCGTGCCGTTCGTGCGCAACTCAGCGAAATCCTCGAAAAAACGAAAAGGAGAGAACAAAAACGAACGAACAAATGAACGAATGAATGGATGTCGGATAGACGAACAGACGAACGGACGAGCGGACGGGCGGATGTGGCCTCTGAAAAAAAGAACAAATATTTATTATACATATAGCACAAGTTATATTTCGAAAATATTGATAAAACGATATACGGTCACTGTTTTTTGTGCTGCCACACGTGTTATTTGATTTTATTAAATTTCAAGATCGCGAGTAAACTTTGGTTACGAAAATAAACGGATTGATAGCCATTTTCATCGCCAATGTCAGTCGCTTCGTTTTATAAGCCGCTTGGTGTTCGCCATTCGTCTAACCGTAGCCGCCGGCACCACAGAGGCCATCGTTGTTAATTAATGCAGTGCTCGGAATTACTTTCACTTTTCAGGCGATTTTCGGGAGTTTTTCTTCACTTATTTCCGCTTAGCTTCCGCTTACTGCACGTTCTACCTACATCATAGATTTAACAATCGCGCTCTCCGTTGCTCTCGGAAACGTTGACGAACTAAGAGGCGTTTATTAATAGCTATAAAATTAGCTGTAATTACAGCTATCAGTAAAATTCGGGAGGATAAGTTAGTTTAAAAATATAATATTTTTCAGATTCTTGTATACCCTCTGAGAATCGTTCAAATGTTAATTTTACTAGAGTGTCCAGATCAAAAAATAAATGTCGATAAGTACTACATTTCTAGCTTTACAAAAAGAATTGAAATTCAACTCTTTATACGTATTTTTAACTCCTGTACGCTGGAGTAATTACCAACATGTACAGACAATTGTACCGCCTTCATCAGATCTTGAAAGAGTACATGTACTTTTATGATAAAATATCGCACTAAGAATACACATTGATATTAAAAAATATCTAATTAATATAGGAAAGCAATTTGAGAAACTGGCTTCAAAGTAAGAAGTAATCTGCCGAAGTTAATTCAAAATGAAAATAGCAAAACTCAATTTAACTTGATCTAATCCAGACTTAGTACTATCTTAAGATATTATGGAATTATTTAACCGGTAAATAGTATTTTAAGATCGTATATTTTTAAGATCGTATTTTATATATAACTTTGAATATTAGACCGTCGTCTTTTACTTTCATGATATGGCGTATTTATCAGCACTCGACATGTTACAAATAAACGAGCGGAATATTTCACTTTAACCACTACTACTAAATATTTACTAAAACAAAATAATATATATATATATATCTTTAGATTATGTAAAGTATATCAAGTTACATAAAAAGTACCGTAAGCTGAGAATAAAATGTAATGTTGAAGAAAAGATACATCAATCATATTCAATTTTAAAAGAAAGAAAACTCTGATGAATAAGAACATAGCGCGAGTTTAATTATAATACTTTTTTTTTCTGGGAAGATATAATTGTTTTCAAAACTTCACCATTAGGGCATAGACAGTGAAGTAATCGTACGAACTGCACACGGCATCATAAGTATAAAATAGGATCGTTATGTATGACATAATTAGTTATACCGGCCTTGCAGATAAAGAGGTCTTCCACTTATGTTTTTACCAACATTCGACATGTCACAAATAAACAAGTGGAATATTTCACTACTACTACTAAATAATTACTAAAACAAAATAATATACATATGTCCTTGGATTATGTAAAGTATGTCAAGTTACATAAAATGCACCGTAAACTGAGAATAAAATGTAATGTTTAAGAAAAAATACATCAATTATATTCAATTTTAAAAGAAAGAAAACTCTGACAAATAAGAACATCGCGCGAGTTTAATCATAATACTTTTTTTTTTGAGAAGATATAATTGTTTACAAAACTTCACTGTACTTGACTAATATCGAAGAAAATAGTTATACGATAATACCTTGAGAAACAGATTTGTGTAAGGAAGTAAGGAAATCTTTAGAGATTTTGCAGATATGAATATACGAGTATTTTCATTTCTGCAACCAAACTTGTCTGGTTAACTTGGCCAGAAAATACATTTAATCAAACTTGACTGATTGTTTTAATCAGAATTTCGAATGTTATTCATATTTTACCAAACAATCTGGTTGGTACAATCAGATTTCAAATTAATCTAACCAATTACTTTTTTCCATGTACAAGACGAATACGCTGAAATAAACGCATTACAGTATTTTAATGCGTCTATTCTATTCTATAGGCATGCGATTCAACTAGTTATTGTTACCTCAACGCCCACATTATTTTCACGCATGATAACGTACATAATTTTCCCGTGTGCTTTATTCTGTCTGTATCGCTTCTAATCGCTTACAGTAGTTCTTAAAAAAAGTAGATTCTCGCACAGACGATGTGCGCGCGACGACGTGCATATGGAAAAAAACGACGGGAAATAAGAATGAAGAAATAAGAAAGAAAGGAATTAAAGGGAAGAAAGTTATAACTTAGAGTTATAATTTAGTTATAACTTAGAGTTATAACTTAAAGTTAATGATAAAAAAGGAAAAAAAGAATATGAAAGCCAAAATATACACTATGGTGGGATTTTACGGCTTATTAAATCCAATGATGAGAATAATGATTGAAGAGTGAAAATTTGATAACGATCGAGTGGAAGAAATATGAAAAATATAAATCAGAGCGAGAGAGAGTATGAGTAGTAAAGTATCAAAGAGATTAGTTTACTTATCGCACGTCGCCTGGACCAGCCGAATCTGTAAATTCTACTGCTGTGGAAATATTTTCAACGATGCACCATCATTTATACAAACAAATCTAACGGAAAAGTGTTCCACTTTACGCGAACGGAAGCCTCTTATATATTCTTCTGTTTCACGTTCCCCACTCCGAAACAAGTATTCGCGTTTTATCTCAGCTCATTGTCGTCAAGATTAGCATTTCTGTTGACACCTACCGTGAAATAGAATTTTTATCAACTCATGTCTCACCAGCAATTCATAATATTGAACGAATGGTAACTTGCAAATTCTTTTCTCTCTCTCTCTCTCTCTCTCTCTCCCATCCCTTCTCTCGCTTTCTCTATTTCTTTTGAGATCAAATCCATTAATTTTAATTGATTAATCCATTTTTAATTAATCCATTACAATAATCAGGCAGTAACTTGATACTTTCTCTATTCAAGAATTAGAATCCACCGAGAATTAAGCGGAGAGAATAAGATTTTGTCACTTGTTTTTTATTATTTCATTTAATGTAATAAACAAATAAATAAAAATAAATAAGACGAATTGTGAATTTTCCGACGGTATTGAAGTAAAGTTTCGATGCAAGAAAATTTGTCGGCAGCTAACCAATGGTTTCCGAACTAACAAAGAATTAGAATTAAGAATTTTAAGATCACATACGATGTTACATTTAATGTGAGGCTCTCGCGGTTATAAACGGCGAGCAGGTAGCGTTAAATGAGTTCTTTGACGATCTAATATTTAATTCACGAGCTGATAAGCTTAATTGAATTCTCGCAGGATGCTCACAGCATAGTGAAAAAGTGTCTCATTTTTGCCTCGCGCTTATCAGCGTGAATAATTGTATTAGGTGTGTGAATTAATTCGGTCCATCTGGCAGTCGATTGCTGTACTATGTAATTTTCTAACCTCTAATGTCTGCAAAAGACTTTATCTTTTAGTTTTGATATCTGAGGCAATAATATTCAGTTGATAAACGTTTGGGTTTGTAACAATAACATCGTGTTTTTCTGATTCGAAAATGTCGAAATTCGAGCCAAAAAAGCATCATTTCCGGGAAGTTCTCATTTTCTGTGCTCATTTGAAGAAAACAATCGCTGAAGCTCATCGAATGCTCGTAGAAGCTTATGGTGAAAGTGCTGCCACCGATAAATGATGCAAAGGTTTCGACGTTCCAAAAGTGGTGATTTCAATGTCGATGACAAACCTCGTCCAGGTCAGCCGAAGAAGTTCGAGGACCAGAAATTGCAGGCACTAATCGATGAAGATCCGTGTCAATCGCAACATGAGCTCGCGCAATTGTTGAATGTTGATCGATCAACAATTTCTGTGCGTTTGGCAGCCATGGGAAAGATTTACAAAGAAGGAAGATGGGTGCCATACAAATTGAAAGAAAGAGACATTGAGAAGCGAAAAGCCATGTCTGAAATCTTGCTTGCCAGGCAAAAAAGAAAAGCATTTTTTGCATCGTATTGTGACTGGAGACGAAAAGTGGATATATTTCGATAAGATAATCCCAAACGAGGAAAATCCATCAGTGACCCAGGAAAACTATTCACATCGATACCAAAGCGGAATATTCACGTCAAGAAAATAATGCTCTGTATATGGTGGGACCAGAAGGGTGTAGTGTATCATGAACTATTAAAACAGAGCCATATCATCACTGCCGAACTTTACCAACAACAATTGATCCGTTTAAACAACATTGAAGAATGAAACATTGAAGAATGAGCGGCCGGAATATGCAAAGAGACACGACAAAATGATCTTCCAGCACAATAACGCTCGGCCACATGTTGGAAAGATTGTGAAGGCCACCTTGGAAGCACTTGGCTGGGACATTTTACCTATTTCAAGCTTCTCACTCCGAGGCAAATATTCGCGTTTTGTCCTAGTCTATGATGATGCAATTAGTATTGCATCAATATTTCCATAAATATCTATCGTGAAATGGAATTTTTACCAACTCATGCCTCACTAACAATTCATAATATTGAATGAGTGGTAATTTACGAAATCTTTGATGTGCTTTATATCGTACATCTCTTCCTCGTCCTCTCCCTCCTCTTCTCTCTCCCTTCTCCTCTCTCTCTCTCTCTCTCTCTCTCTCTCTCTCTCTCTCTCTCTCTCTTTCTATTCTTTTTGAAATGAAATCTGTCCAGTATAACGGATATTACAATAATTAAGGGGACTGGAGGGTCAGATTACTGAAAAATCGTGCTTATTTTTTGATAATATTTTGTGACGAACTGAATAGATATGTAAGAATGAAAATTTTTGATATATTTATATAACATATGAAGAGTAGAAACATTTTATTTATTAACAAATATTCATATAAATATACGTCCACTTAAATTTTAAACGCGTTTCTCTCGAAATTTTATTGTTCAACTTTTTGCAGTGATTTCTCCGAAACTGAGCTTCGTATCGATTTGAAATTTTAGAGCAATATTTGTTCATCTGACTCTCAGGTGCACCATGGACAACTCCGTCAAAATATTTCATTTCGAGATATTAATTTTTTATTATAGAATTATAAAAGAACTGAAAGTTTTGAATTTTTTTCTAATAATAGCCGCCATTTGTTAATTTTGTTTGATTTTTTCATAGTGCTTCACTGAATAATAATAAGCCTCCTTAAGATTTCTAACCAAAATTCGCTCTGATCGGACCACCGAGAGCCAAGATATTACTGCAAAAACGACAACTTGAAAAAAAAGGGAGAGTATATTTCAGCTACATATATCGTATATTTATATGAGTATTTGTTAATAAACAAAATTTTTCTACTCTTTACATGTTGTAAAGATATACCTAAAATTTTCATTCTTACACATTTATTCAGTTCATTGCAAAATATTGTCAAAAACAAACATGATTTTTCAGCAATCTGACCCTTCAGTCTCCTTAAGCGCCAACTTGCTTTCTCTTTTCAAGAATTAAAGTCCGCCGAAAATTAAACGGAGAGAATAAGATTCTGTTACTTGTCCTTTATTATTTTATTTGATGTACAAATGAGATGAATTGCCAAATGGTATTGAGATAAGATTTCGAAAATTAGTCGGCAAACTACTATTTCCCAACTAACGAAGGATTAGAATCATAAATATGTATTAAGATCACGTATGATACCACATTAGTATATATAATGTGAAATTCTTGTACTCATAAATGACGAGCAGATAACGCTAAATGACCAGTTTCTTGACGATCTTATGTAATGCACGAGCTGATAAGTTTAATTGATTTTTCGCACGATGCGTCACGACGTAAGAAAAAAGTGTCTCACTTTTTCCTTGCACTTATGATCGTGAATAACTGCATTTCCTGGTTCTAATAATCGATATTTTGCGTAACCTTTTAAAATATTCTTTCAATTTCTCGCGGTAGATTTTTACTTAAAACTGATGACAATTCAACTCATTATAGATAGCTGTGGCTACAAATCTTTATTAGAGATATTTTGAAAGGTGGTATGTCATTTCAAAACTTGCACATTTCTATAAATAATTTGATACACGTTGTGTACATTCGTAAACATAATCACACTTTTTAGTACGATTGGAAATGGAAAGTGCTAAAAAGCATTTATTATTTTACTGCTTTGGTTCGAAGAAAACGACTGCCGGAACTCACCGATTCGTTCAGGTCGAATAACGCTGTCTAACATATCTCGCTTACATGCTCGCATTCACTGCTAATTAATATAAAATACATAAAATAAAATATTTATATTGTCGTACACGTAGACGTAGATGCGGACAATACCTAAAAATGATTATGTACGTATGTACGTATATACGTAAGTATATATATTTATTTTATATCCTCTCTCTTTCTCTCTCTCTCTCTCTCTCTCGCTCTCACTCCTCTCTCTCACTTTCTCTCCCCTGCACATTTTGTCCTATATTGTTTCTATAGCATATCCCCCGCTTACACGCTCGCATTCGCTGCTGTCTGCTTGTTCAGCGCTCTCGTAGCGCCTCTGATGTCGGAAAAGTGAGATGCACATATCCTCACTCTTATGCGTCCGAAGTTTCTTACTTTCTTACTGAATCGAAATTTTCCGTGATTCGGACTTTTATTTTAAAATACCTCCACTTAGAGACAACGTACACAAAAATCACAAGAACATTTTGCTTCCTATTTTTTAAGACCGAATCGATTGGGACTAAAAAAACCTCGATTGGTTCAGCCATAGCTGAGATATGAATAACTCACTTCGTTTCAACTCGCAGTTTCGCGTATAATAGGCACGGTATGCCTCTTGATAACGAGAGAGAGAAAGAGACACAAAGAGAGAAAGGGAAGGAAGGGGGAGGGGAGGGAGAGGGAGAGGGAGATTGAGGAGAGAGAGAGAGAGAGAGAGAGAGGGAGAGAGAGAGAGAGCTTAAGATGGTCTTGAATAGAAATATTGAAATTTTGAATAGAAATGTCGAAATTTTCATTGATTATACGGCTACGCGTTACTATGCAGAAAATATGTCATAGAATTTCAAATATGTATGTGCTTAATACATCGTATGTTAGAGTCGGATATTATCGAACTTATATTACACTCCAAGGATTATTTTTGATTTATGATATTTATTCTAAACTTTAATATGATTAAGCTAAAATGGCTTGTAGTGTTCTAATATAATAAAAAAATAAAGATTGAATCATAAAGAAATTAAAGAATGGCTCGATGAGTAGATTGTTTCGAAGGACAAATATTTTTTATTGCGGAATTCATTTGTTGCTAAACAAGCGGGTAAAAGTTATAGTTAGCGATGGAAAATATTTGGAATAAAATATAATTTTACGTCTCTTTAAAATAAGTGTTTTTTTCTTGCAAACAAATCCCTCAAAATTAACCGGAACACTTAATAAATCGTAAAGCAAATTTTTAATCTACATGAATATCTACATCTATATGAAAGCGGATTGAGACAAACATTAAAGTCCCATACACGTTTTGTGCTATTCGTAATAATTATCGAGTTATTTATTATAAAAATCTGACAAATGAACGTGCACCGAAATGGTAATGGAGGAGCATTACAACCGCTCGAGCTATAGCGGCTCAGTCGATCAAGCAACTATCGCCGGCGCGGTAAGGGGAAGGACAATATGACGCTGCTCGTGCTTTTACCTGGCCGCTCATACAACGTCTCGCTGCACCGCGCCTAAGCTCGTATCGATATGGTCGCTAAATATTCGTGATTATAATTACGAGATTATTTTTTGAGACAGCAGAAATAACTAGTATTGAAACCATGAAAAGTTCTGTGATAAAAAATCGAAAAATCTTTCGATTTTTTTTCTTTTTTAAATCTTTCGATTCTTTTTTATCAAAATCTTTCGATTTATCTTAATCGCAGAGCTGTTTACAGTTGTGATATGAACTATTCTTCTAAATGTTCTTTCATAAAATGGCCTCATAATTGCGAATATTTAGCGACTATTTAGCTATTTAATGATAGATGCGAGTTTAAGCGCACTTAATCATTTTGCGTTATCTTTGAGCCATTATTCGATGTTTCAAAGGATGTAGCGGCCGGTGCGTTGTCCTTCCCTTCATCGCTCTTATCTCACCCCACCTTGCATAAACTCGTGTCATTGTGTGGCCGCCAAGTATTCGCAATTACAATTACAAGGTCATTTTATGAGACAGCAGTAATAGCTCCTTAAAATCGTAAAAAGCCCTGTGATAAAAAAAAATTGAAAGACCTTGATGAAAAAAATCGGAAGATCTTCGGATTTGTTTTTTACCGCGAAGCTTTTTACGGTTTCAATATGAGCTATTTGTACTGTTTCATAAAATGACCTCATTATTGTAATCACAAATGCTTAGCGACCACACATATCGATGCAGCGGCGGGTTATCCTTCCCCTCGCTGGCAACAATTACTCGAACGACTGGACTGCGCTACGAGAATTGTTCAAATGCTTCTCCCCTACTATTTCAACGTGCGCTCATTCATCCGATTTCTGCAATTAATAACTTGATAATTATTGTGAATGCTGCGAGACGGTATGGGACTTTTTTGTTCCCCTTAATCCGTTCTACACTACCACAAACTGTGGCATACTGCATCCTCCATGTCCTAGCTTGCTGATCCAGAATCCTGGTGCTGGCTATACCGTTATGACACTACCATAATTTACAGCAATGATGTTCGCGCGCGCGCGTGTGTGTGTATATGTGGATACGATCTCACTGAGAAAAATATATTAATACTAATATTATTAAATGCACAAATATCAATCATTAGTAGTGACTTCACTAATTTCACTAGGCTTGATATTATCAAGAAAACAACTCTGAATAATTTGCAAAAAATTTCAGCTGTTGCACATTATTTATTACCAAGTTAGGAATAATTAAACACTGTGTGTGTATGCGCGTGTGCTATCGCAAAATTATTTTGGGAAAAGCTCACGTAACACGTAGCAGCAAGGCAATGTTTAGTACGATGCAATAATTAGCGAGCAACGTCGCATGACAAAAAGCGACAGTTATAGGAAAATTCAATGTAAAATATATCGCGCATAATGTGGCAACACCGGTACGACTGTCCTCGATGAATCCGACGAGTTTATCATGTGTATAGTATTTAATAATCGACACTGTCGACATGCAGCCTTCGTTCACTCCTCCGCAAGTCGCTCGTCCTCTTTCCGTCGCAATCCCTCTGACGCCTTCTTCTTTCGAGGTGATACATCGCGCGATGTCGCACCGCGTTTCGTGCGGCGGATGCGCGCGAAGCAAACCGACGTCATTTTATTACTGAATATGCAATGGTCTCACAATGTTTGTCAAGCAACATAATTCGCATGGTGCAGCTGGCGGTTATAGTTGACTCAGCAATAGAATAATATACACCCAATATTGGCAAATATTTTGTCACTCTCGTCTGTTTCTGCGGCCTGCCGATGTCTCATGATTATAGTCGTTCGCGAAGGAATATAAGTTAATTAACGCAATTAAGATATTTCTTCAAGGAAAACGACTTAATAAGTCCGGTCTGTTTGATAAAGTAGTTTCGTTGAGAGGCTCGTGGCGGAAAAGGTTACACGCTACAAAGTAACGGGATTTTGATTCTATATACACTGCTCAAAAGAATTATGACATAAATAATTTATTGCCGAAAATTGGCCAACTTTGACTGGCGATTACTTTGCGAAAAATTATTGTAGACTATGATATTTTTTTTTCAAAATGAAGCTTGAAGTCTCTACTTTAAGAATGTATCTCCATTTTTTGCATGCGATGCACCTCTACTCCTGTAACCCCTGACATCTGAGGGCATGTTTGGTATACTGAAAATTGCAAAGTTTGACGGAATGCATGGACGTGGACAATTTTTTTTCAGGGACGCCGTTTGCATCGTCATAAAGTTCAAATCTTCCCCTTCAATTTGAAAAAAAATGGAGTCGTTACAATTTTTTTCGCAAAATTACAGCCCTTCAAAAATATCGTTGTGAAGGAAACACGAGATATTGAAGACGCACCTACACGCACACATACACACACATACACACACACGCGCGCACCCACGTGCACAGAAAGGAGGGTTTGGAGTCAATAATTACTGTGGAAGTGACGAACCACGGGATCCTTATCTCTTTTGTCACGGACACACACATATGTGTGCACACTTGGCCCGAAGGCTAAAAATAATGATACTTTTGAAGGGCTTTGCGAAAAAAAAAGTGTAGCGACTCCATTTTTTTTTCAAATTGAAGGGGAAGATTTGAACTTCATGACGATGCGAACGGTGTCTCCGAAAAAAAATTGTCCACGTCCGTGTATTCCGTCAAACTTTGCAATTTTCAGTATACCAAACATGCCCTCAGATGTCAGTCAGGGGTTACAGGGGTAGGGGTGCATTGTATGCAAAAAATGGAGATTCATTCTTAAAGTAGAGACTTCAAACTTCATTTTGAAAAAAAAGTTATTAGTCTACAATAATTTTTCGCGAAGTAATCGCCAGTCAAATTTGGCCAATCTTCGGCAATATATTATCTATGCCGTAATTCTTTTGAGCAGTGTATTAACATGCATTTGTGTTTACAGATGTATCGCGCAGACAGCGAATGCGCATTTGTAGATTCCGATTTACTCATACCAATATCAGGAAATCGAATTTACGCAAATATGTAGCAGATTCTACTTCGGTTTCGCTTTTTTTTTTCTTTGAGAAAACTTGCATACCAATTTCGTTGAAAATTGTCATTCCGCCTTCCAATTAAGTCGTGCAGCTCATCAAATCTGCGTCGAACAGAAGAGACCTTCACGTTCGATTAATCCGCGTGAGGGTCTCTTCTCAAAATTCTCCCTGCGAACATAGACAAATTATTAAAGTCATAGCGATTGAGTTCGAAGTTACAGATCGTGCGCAAAAGTATTACTGCCTTTTTCTTACAAAACTCATATAGTTCGTTTCTTCAGGCGACTTAACTGACCATTGACTCTTCCTGATGATCGGAACCACAACCGGAATCGGAAAGCCATTGAATGTGGAGGCGAGAGCTATAGAATATGCACCCATGTCCTTCCAAACCAACCAATCGCCGATATGAAGTTCAGGCAGCAACACGTCCTTGACGATTAAATCGTACGAATCGGCAGTCGGACCCCACAAGCTCGAGCAGAACTTCTCGTTGCTCATTGGCTGCGCACGGCGCGATGAATTAATAACAATATCTTAAGTCACAATGGAGAGCCTCTTGGCGAGGAAAATGGAAAGTAACGGAGTTTACCTCGGATAGCAATTGTGGGACTCTCGCTCTTAAGCCCAACAGCTCGTCTATGAAGCTATTGAACACCCCGCAGTTCATGTAGTACATTCTTATCATTTTACTGCCCTTCAGGATCACTCGCTTCGAGTGCAGATACGAGGCCAGAGTGAAGCTCGAAGCTACGTAGTAACTTCCCGGCTCACTGATCACTTTTATGGCCGGGTCGACATCCCGTATCGCCTCGTTGATAATACTCGCGAACTGAGGAAGTCACGAGGAAGTGTGTGACGCGCGGTGTGTAAACAAATAGTGAATGAGTAATATGCGTTAATGAAATCTGAAAATTCAAGTTTGTCTTTGCGACTGTCGCAAGTGAATTTGCAACTGATCTGCCCCGATTGCGAATTTAACCGGGATGTTTCGTATAATTTTCTAGCGCCCGTTCGTTTTCGTATCTTAATAAACGATTAATGAAAAATGTGTACGTGAATAACAATATCTGAAAAATTGGGCCTTTCTCCGCGATTACGAATGTCGCGAATAATTTTGCAATTATTCTTCTCTAATTGTGAATATGGAGGATTCGTTTCATTTTCCGGTATCACTTCATCTTGGTCTCTAAAATGAGAAACTTATACGACTAGTAATATCTAGAAAATTGGGCGCGATTACGAACTTTGCGAATAAATTCGCTATTAATGATTTTTGGTTATAAAAATTGAGAAGCCGATTCGTCTAATTTTCTTACATCTCTCTCTGTTCTGTCCCTCGATTTTATCTTCATTTCCGGAGCAGTCAACAAGAAGACAGCCAACGCAAGACGTCAGTTACAAATTTCAATTACTCGGTCGTTAATATAAATTTTATTTTCACGACCAAGTTGATTTCGCGCAACTGAGATTTTACGTCGACTTTTACTCTAGCTTTTTTCTTCTTGATAATTGATAGTGCAAGAGGTTCCAATCTTTCAGATTTAAATCTTCATCGTACTCGAGTGTCACGATTTAGTATTTTTAAATCGAAATATGATAAAATATGATAGATTTGAGATATTGTGTGTACACCTCGTCGATGTTCGTTCCGCACTCGCCCGGGAAGCCGCCACCGATGTCGATCAGCTGCACGCCCTCGCAGCCGATGCTTTTGGAGACAGTAATTAACTGTTTGCACATCGCGATCCCTCGGCCATAAGCCTCCGGCTCAACGCACGGACTGCCGACGTGAAAGCTGAAGCCGTGCAAATTCAAGCCAAGGTCCTTCGTAAGCTGTATCAAACGTACAGTCTCCTCGTTCGGGTCGGATCCGAATTTCATGCCCAACACCACCGGCGTGTTTTTCGAGTCGCAGCGTATACGTATGACAATCCTGTGCACAAAAACCGATCACTCGCGTAACAAAAGTGGAGCAACAGGAATAACAAAAAAGCAAATGCTCGTTACCACCGTTCGGTCGGACAGTCGAGAGTCACTCACTTAGCTTCGGGAAAGAAATCCTTGATCTTGAACAGTTCGTATTCGCTGTCCACCGTCATCTGCTTGACGTCCACTTTCTTCGCATAGATTATGTGAGATGGATATTTCGCCGGGTGTGCGAAAATAATGCGATCGCCGTGCACCCCATGTTGCATCACCTGTTTTATCTCTTGCTGTTTACAAATATAATTTGCATCTTAGTAGGCTTAGTAGGAAAAAAGATTGGTTATTGAACGTGACAGCGAACGAGTCAAGCGCGCATCGGATGGAGGCGACAGAATTTCTGGCTTTTATGAATTAAATTTGGTCTGTCAGAAGGAAATTCTGCCTCCTTCATCCCTCATTCTCGTTCGATTCGTTCATTGTCACGACAATTCGGACGGTCTCATTCCACTGTGTGGAGTTATTTGCCAGTCGCGGAGGTAAACGGAAAAATTTATACCTCGGACGCGCAGTCGAAGCAAGCATCCAGAGCCGCCAGGACTTTAATCACCGTCGGATCCGGATTGCATTTAATCGCTGGAAATGATAAAAGAGAGAAGAGCGATATCAGTGCTTTGCGACTTTATCAATGGCACCGGTGTGCATCGACAAAAAATGATGAAACGAAGTGAGCGTAACGAGCAAGAGGAGATACCGAAGTGTGGGACGACTCTGGGCATCTTTGCGATCCATTCGTCGTGTTTCGCGATCACTTTACCGATGTCCGCGATGTAAAAAGCCTTCTCTCGATGCTCCGTGCTGGTTATGTTTTGTATTATGTCCATATCGTCCATTGAGTCTTCGTATATCTTTATCCCGCTCGCGTTAAACCACGCCATGTCGTGTCGCTCGTGCGCAACTCAGCGAAATCCTCAAAAAACGAAAAAGTGGAGACGGACGAATGAACGGACGTCGGATAGACGGACAGACGAACGGGCAAACGTAGCCTCTGAAAATAGTGCAAATATTTATTATACATACGGCACAGTTTATATCCCGGAAATATTGATAAAAACGATACGCCGTCGCTGTGTTTCGTGTACCACCACAATGTGTGTTATTTGATTTTATTAAGTTTCAAGATCGCGCGAGTAAACTTCGATTACGAAATTAAACGAATTGATAACCATTTTGGCTCTCATACGGGCGCTCACCAATTTTAGTCGCGTTTCATGAGCCGCTTGGTATTCGCCATTCACCTAACCGCAGCTGCCGACAGCCACCGTTGTTATTTAATGTAACGACCGTTCCGCCTTTTGTTCTATTCTTTTCTTCCGCTTCTTTACTATCGAATGTCGACGGTATTATCGTGACGATATTCGCGGACTACTAAAAACATGTATATACTTGTCCATGCGTATACTTGCACCGTGTACTACTGCCATTCGCATTCAAATGATAAAGACAATAATTGCCGATAATTGCACCACTTTATGTGACTACAATAAATTGCAAGGATAAGCTAGTTTGAAAATAAATGTCGATATGTACTACATTTCTAACTTTGCAGAAGGAATTCGACTTTTTATGTATGTTCTACACGTTAGTAATTATCAACATATGCAGACAATCGCATCGCCTTCATCAGATCTTAAAAGAGTACATGTTCTTTTGTGATGTAAAATATCGTACTAGGAATACATATTGATTAAAAAACAACAGATTAATGCAGGAAAATAATTCGGGAGACTGGCTACGAAGTAAGAAGTAATCTGCTCAGATACCGATCGAAGTTTATTCAAAATGAAGATTGCGAAATTTTATTTAACTTAATCTAATCTCGGCTTAAAGAACTTTCTTAAAACGCTATGGAATTATTTGAACGACTAAATAGCATTTTAGGATCGTATATTTCTAAGATCGTATTTTGCATATAAAATTTGACTTTGAATATTAGACCATCGCCTTTTTTTTTAATGAGACGGCGTTTATCAGTTAAGATCTGATGAAGCCGTTGCGATTGTTTGCATATGTTGATAATTACCAGCGTATAGAATTTAACATATATAAAAAGTCGAATTCCTTCCGCAAAGCTAAAAATGTAGCATATATCGACATTTATTTTCAAACTAGCTTATCCTCGCGAATTTACTATAATTGCAGTTATGTCAAGACTCGACATGTCACAAATAAATGAGCGAATACTTCGGTTTAACAATACCTACTGAAACAAAATGATATACGTCTTTAAATTATATAAAATACGTCAACTTGCATAAAATGCCCTGTAATAGAGAAGTAAAATGTGATGTCTAAGAACGAAGAGATAAGAATCTAGAGGGAGGGATTAAATAGGAAGAAGATACATGACATTCTTTAAAGCTGGAGATAAAAAAACATGAAAGCCAAAATATACACCATGACAAGATTTTTACGACTTTATTAAATCCAACAATGACTAGTGATTGAAGGGTGAAAAGTTAATAACGACCGAGCGGAAAAGATATATAAATCAGGACAAGAGAAAAAGAGAGAGAGAGAGAGAGAGAGAGAAAGAGAGAGAGTATGAAAGAGTAAAGCGTGAAAGGATTAGTTTACTTACTGCACGTCGTTTTGACAAGCTGAATCTGCAGCTTTAATTCCCGTGGAAGTATTTTCAACGATACACCATACATCAGTTGCACTAACAAATCTGACAGTAAAATGTTCTACGTTGCGCGAAAGAAATCGCCTTATATATTCTTCTGTTTCACGTTCCCCACTCCGAGACAAGTATTCGCGTTTTATCTCAGCTCATTGTCGTCAAGATTAGCATTTCTATTGACACCTACCGTGAAATAGAATTTTTATCAACTTATGTCTCACCAGCAATTCATAATATTGAACGAATGGTAACTTGTAAATTCTTCTCTCTCTCTCTCTCTCTCTCTCTCTCTCTCTCTCTCTCTCTCTCCCATCCCTTCTCTCGCTTTCTCTATTTCTTTTGAGATCAAATCCATTAATTTTAATTGATTAATCCATTTTTAATTAATCCATTACAATAATCAGGCAGTAACTTGATACTTTCTCTATTCAAGAATTAGAATCCACCGAGAATTAAGCGGAGAGAATAAGATTTTGTCATTTGTTCTTTATTATTTTATTTAATGAATTCAATCAATAAATAAATAAATAAAAATAAATAAGACGAATTGTGAATTTTCCGACGGTATTGAAGTAAAGTTTCGATGCAAGAAAATTTGTCGGCAGCTAACCAATGGTTTCCGAACCAACAAAGAATTAGCATTGGGAATTTTAAGATCACGATGTTATATTTAATGTGAGGTCCTCGCGGTCATAAACGGCGAGCAGATAGCGTTAAATGAGTTCTTTGACGACCTAATATTTAATTCACGAGCTGATAAGCTTAATTGAATTCTCGCAGGATGCTCACAGCATAGTGAAAAAGTGTCTCATTTTTGCCTCGCGCTTATCAGCGTGAATAATTGTATTAGGTGTGTGAATTAATTCGGTCCATCTGGCAGTCGATTGCTGTACTATGTAATTTTCTAACCTCTAATGTCTGCAAAAGACTTTATCTTTTAGTTTTGATATCTGAGGCAATAATATTCAGTTGATAAACGTTTGGGTTTGTAACAATAACATCGTGTTTATCTGATTCGAAAATGTCGAAATTTGAGCCAAAAAAGCATCATTTCCGGGAAGTTCTCATTTTCTGTTCTCATTTGAAGAAAACAATCGCTGAAGCTCATCGAATGCTCGTAGAAGCTTATGGTGAAAGTGCTGCCACCGATAAATGATGCAGAGAATAGTTTCGACGTTTCAAAAGTGATGATTTCAGTGTCGATGACAAACCTCGTCCAGATCAGCCGAAGAAGTTCGAGGACGAGGAATTGCAGGCGCTAGTCGATGAAAATCCGTGTCAATCGCAATATGAGCTCGCGCAATTGTTGAATGTTGATCGATCAACAATTTCTGTGCGTTTGGCAGCCATGGGAAAGATTTACAAAGAAGGAAAATGGGTGCCATACAAATTGAAAGAAAGAGACATCGAGAGGCGAAAAGCCATGTCTGAAATCTTGCTTGCCAGGCAAAAAAGAAAAGCATTTTTTGCATCGTATTGTGACTGGAGACGAAAAGTGGATATATTTCGATAAGATAATCCCAAACGAAGAAAATCCATTAGCGACCCAGGAAAACCATTCACATCGATACCAAAGCGGAATATTCACGTCAAGAAAATAATACTCTGTATATGGTGGGACCAGAAGGGTGTAGTGTATCATGAACTATTAAAACAGAGCCATATCATCACTGCCGAACTTTACCAACAACAATTGATCCGTTTAAACAACGCATTGAAGAATGAGCGGCCGGAATATGCAAAGAGACACGACAAAGTGATCTTCCAGCACGATAACGCTCGGCCACATGTTGGAAAGATTGTGAAGGCCATCTTGGAAGCACTTAACTGGGACGTTTTACCTCACCAGTCATATTCACCATCCGACCATCTCACCAGACATTGCTCCATCCGATTATCACTTGTTCAAATCGATAGCACACGGGCTTTCAGACCAGCACTTCAACAATTATGAAAAAATAGAGAAATGGCTCAATGAATAGATCGCTTCGAAGAACGAGTCGTTTTCCCCTCACGGAAAGCAACAACTGCCAGACAGATGGGAAAAATAATAGCAAGCGATGGCAAATGCTTTGATTAGTGTACTTTTTCATGTTTCTTCATACTAAAATTTTTTCTTGGAAGAAAAAAATGGACTAAATTAATTCACACACCTAATATTTCCTCGTTTTAATTATCAACTTTTTGCGTAACGTTCCATTATATTTTTTAAATTCCTCGCAGTGGATTTTCACTTAAATCTAACGCTATAAATAATGTTTTATAAATAATTTTTTATTAACGTACGTTTTATAATTTTCGAAAGTATTAAAGGTTTTTTTCATAAATTGATTATATATTTTATTTAACTATTAAAAGAAACATTGCTTTAATGCTGAAGTTAAAATTGACATTTTTTAAGACGTAAATCCTTTCGCTTGTAACGGTAGAATGAAAGTTTCACTCGTATGGATTAAGAGTTCACTTTACGATTTGAGTTAGACATTCATTTATTGCGAAACACAAAATACTCCATCTTGAGTGGCGGTATTTTCATCATTACTTCGAATGAATATAGCTTGGCGCCTTTGGTATGACTAACACAATATCCTAATCTCGTGATCTTAATCATCAGAGTTCCTTAAGTATTACAAATATTTCATGCCGTTAGCATTTACATACGAATTGTTTACATATGAATATCGTTTACTAACTGCCACGTAAGGAGAAATAATTAGGTCACGGTTACAACAATACACGCACATATAAAATACATTGCTTACTTATAATATTATAATAATAGTTTTGTATCATAGTAATAAATTTTCTTATTTATAATATTATAATAGAAGCATGATATATCATAAGTATATGCAAATAATTTATATGATAAGAAAACCGCGAATATTTCTGTCATTATCGGATCGTGTCTCTCTCTCTCTCGCTCTCGCTCTCTTTCTCTCTCTCTCTCTCTCTCTCTCTCTCTCTTTCTCTCTTTCTCCCTCCCTTCCTTTTATTTTTAAAACGATAAATAATTTATTATTTCTTCATGTTAATTTTCATACGTATATGTAAGAAAGTAATATATATTCGCTTATTTGTAATGTTATAATTCGACGTAATGCAATTGTTCGTAAAATGCTGGCAAACTTTCTTCACGTAATATCAAACACCGCAATTAAGCCGGCACAGCAGCGACTGAACAGGAAGAGGGAGACTCGCGAAAAGAACCGCGAAGTAAGAAATCGTCGGTCTCCGCCGACGAGCCGATATCTCCGCCCTCGACCCTCCCTCATTTACTTACGACCCTATTAAGGGTAGTAACGTCTCTCCTTGTTCTCCTTCGTCAGGACTCTCTTTTACCCGTTCTCGGCGCGGCCGCCGCCATCGATGCAAACGATTCGTCCTCCCGGGGTGGGGGGGGGGGGGAGAGTACGTCTTCAAAACGGCTCACCGGATGGAAAAAGAAACGCGTGAGACGGGACGGAGTGAAGAGGAGAAAGGGGGCGCATCTTATCTACGGTGACCCGGTTCCTTTTACTTGGACCTTACCTCCGCGGATAGCCAGCAGCGAGTCGACAGCGCTGCTTTAAATCGGAAAAGAGCAGAGGCGAGTGGGGTGGGAGAGAACTCTAATTACTGTCCGAGCTCTGAGGAGCTGGAAGCACGGCGGGCTGGGAGACGGACACAGCGTGGAGGGGGAGGGTGGAGATGCCGTCCCGCGGCGTTCTTTGAAACGCACCCCAGCTGAGGGTGGTGATGTCGCGCGAACGTTACTTCGAGACGCGCGTCCATTCGCGTCTTGCCATTCGCGCGCGAGCCTTCGCCCGCGTCCTCGGCTCGCTCTCGCTGCGAGCGTTGGCGCGAGCGCGCAATCCAAAGGCCGCCAAAAGGAGAAGCTCGCGTTCTTACGGAATAAGAAAATTCCCGGTGATCCTAGCGCTGACGCGCGCGAGATAGCTCGCGGTTAATTACACGTCGCGGAAGGATGAGGGATCGGGCCCGCTGCACCCTCCGGCGTGTCCGTGAAGTCGTGAATCAGTCCACGTGACAGAACGAGAGAGAGAGAGAGAGAGAGAGAGAGAGAGAGAGAGAAGGGGGGAGAGAGAAAAAGACATGTAATCACACTGTAGATGTGGCGTGTGAGTGCCTTTCAATTGATGACACAGGTCGACACACAAGCATCATCCTGCTTTCACTCATTTTGTTTATACCCATTGAACGTGAAACGAAGACAAAACAACTCTCGTGTCGACCTGTGTTACCAAACAACGAGACTCCCGATAAGACGAATGTCCCAAATTAGGGAGCGAGTATAACCTTATCTCGAAAAGACAGTTCGCGAATTGCGTCTGCTGGCAGGAGAAGGAGGAGCAAGGGGGGAGGGGAGAGGGACGGGGTGGACGCTTAGACCGAAATATAATAAAGCAGCTTCGCCCCTCGAGGAAAGGAATGGGTTGCAGCAGTTGGCGTGGATCGGGGCTTACAACGGCCAGAAAAAATCGACGCACGTTCGCGGAACACAGGCCGGCCAGTAGTAACGGACTTCCTGCAGTCGGACGTGCCACGTCCGTGCCTCCGCAGTGGCCTGACGGCAGACCGGGTCGGCCTGGGCGACGCACAGTGGGGCCAGATGACATTTTTTGGTACAAAATTCTCTAGAGACCTGAATTTCCAACCGATCATCGGCGCCAGTGGATGAGGTTGATCCTGAATAAATTTCAAAGAGATCTGTCTAGCCGAAATTTTGAAAAAATTATCGGTTCAGGGTTCATGGGTTTAGGGTTTGTCTTAAAAATTTCAAGGCTCGAGCTAATGTTTTATAGCTGAATATTCAACGTCGAGTATTATTAGGTTCTCGAGCTATGGCTAGATTGGGTTCTTGGACTATTTGGAGCTCTTAATATATACGGCTTCATGCATCCACGAGCTACAAAGTTCTCGGATTGATAGATTCCTAGGCTGATGGGCTTAAGACTCCAAATCCCTCGATTTTGTGCTTAACGGGTCTATAATTGATATTTTTGTATTTTGGGCATATGACTTTTGGGTTAATGGGTTTCTGGTTCAAGATCGTTAAATCTCGAGGTGTCTGTTGATTGGTTTCATAGTTTCAATCCGCTGAATACGCTATTAGATAGAAATAAGTGTGGAATAATGAGTATTTCACAAGTTTCTCGCGTTTAACGA